ATTTCCCGAAAGTTTTAGCCTCTCAGTTTTCTTGGTTCTCGAGCTAGCGATTTTCGCGCCAGGAACCTTCACGGGGCCGTACGCGGGAACCGCACACACCTGGGGCTGAATTTAAAATCTTTGAGTTCTGTACGGGCGGGAAACATAATCCTAAAATTTCAGCTTTCTAGCTTTTCTAGTTCCCAATTTGGCGATTTTCCCACCAAAACTTTGAGGCGCTCGTGCGCGGGGCCTAGAAGTGCTTGAGGATTGGCACAGCGACCCTGGGGTGGCATTTGGTCGGGGAACGCACTCGCGAAATTCTGGCGCCGGAGGTTGCTTGGGTGACGAGTTGAAATACCCGGACAGATGCACACAAACACACACACACACACACCCATACGCACACATACACACGCACGGCAGTCGTCACAATATGTGTTTTTGGATATAAGCAAAAACGTATAAAAAATATAGTTCTGATAAAAAATATCTATTTTCCAGCACCTGAATAAAAATTAATCCTTGTGAAAGCTTGTTTCTTACAACTGGAATGTTAAGCGAAAGTTCGAAAAATTTTCAAAAAATTTTTTCAAAAAAACACCTTCAGTGTCATCCAGTCACTGTCTTTTCCAGACAGGCCATACACCAGAATAGAGCCATCATGAGAGAAACACAGCTTTCTTATAAAAATAGTGTTATCCTCGGATAGTTTGTTTGGGTCAAGGAATATAGTTCCGTCTTCGTCTAGGTGTTTCTGCTGGTATATAACGCTTAAACAAATTCATGACATTAATGCTTTAATAGAAAAGTTAAGTGAGAAAAATTCAAAGATTTCACGGGGCAAAAAACTGAATTATTATTCTCCGAAAAATTATGCAAGCTTATTTGTACGATTTTTTTATACAGCCGATATAAACCATCAGCAAAAAAAAACACATGCACACGAAAGGCAATCCTTCCTTTTCGAACAGTTTGTGGTGAAAACAAATCTTTCCGACTTTTTCTGGAATCTCATATTCTTATTCTAAATGATTTCCCCAAACGGTTTAGTAAAGTGGAGACAACAATAGGTTCATACACCCGATAAAAATATCAAAAGACGGTGGAGGCAGCGGCATCGGTTTTGCTGCGGATGACCGAGACGCAGTCTCGGCCGGCAGTGAATATCGTCGCGGTTTTTGATGGCGTTGAGGAAGCACGGATCGTCTGCAGGAACAATTCCGCTTTTGCTGAGGAAGGCGCAGCTCGGTTGGTGGTAGATATCCTTCCTGGTCGGGTAGAAGTGTTGACACTGAAGTATTTGCCGAAAAATCCGCCAATGGGCCCATCTGGCACCTCTCCTCGCTCGAGCTTGGGTCAGCTTACAGCAAAAATTGAACACACAATTAATTGATGATGCCCCTGATTGACGGCAGCACCGTCATTACAAAGAGGATATTTTTCAGATTAGGGTATCGCTAGCACTAATTTTTTGCTAATTCCTATCTTTTTTCTTCCCTTATTCCATTTTTTCATTCGAGCCTTTTTTCCTCT